GGTAACCAATTTTTTATTTTACAATTTAGCTCCTAAACTTGTAAAATTTTACAAACATGTCCAATGTATTGGTATGTGAAATTTCAGATCTAATGGGTTACAAGGTCAAAAAGTGACCACACCCTAAGCTGATCGACCCTACCCGACCCTTATAGAGTCAAAAAATAACCCGATTCTAAACTGACCGTGTATACAAATTGATACAACCAAATCTGAATGGGTCAGTGAGGTTTTACAGTGAAGTATACATCACTAAGACTTTTGTATAATTCTTTCCTTCACAGATCAATTGTTTGATCGATCAGTCAGTCAACCATCTCCACTCCACTTATCTTCTCCTTCATTTAATCTAACCAAAAATTATGTCTTCTTCGCCACTAAAAAAAAAATAATTATGTCTTCTTCACCTTGATGCTCCTTCTAATCTGAACTAATAATGGCTGCTGCAGCCGAAACCTCCAAAAATCCCCCCCTTCTCACTATTCCCGCCACAACTCTCCTTAAGTTACCACTACTCCCTGGCCGCCGACACGATCACCCAAGGCGGCCTTGCTCTCAATTCCTCCTCCACTCTCCTCTCCAGAAATGGCCTCTTCACTTTGGGGTTCCAGCGCCTTCAATCCAACCGCAGCTTCCTTGGGATCTGGTACGCAAACGACGCCTCTGCTCTCTTCTGGGTAGCCAATCGCTCCTCCCCTGTTCCCGACGAAAAATTAGACAGAAAAGAAATCTCTACCTAAAAATCCACTCAGAAACCTCTACTCGAAAATGATTTGCGTGCTAATTAGTCCCAAATAACAGATTTTACAAATACTGTATGGTTCCAATCTACTAAACCGCGTTTGAAAAAGTCAAAACAACGCCGGCGACTTTTCAATTTCCCTCGCCGGTCAACAACAGAGCAGAGATATGGTCACATGGCAAGTTGGCAACAATTTCTGAATTTTTCCAACCAGAACTTCCGTGTCCAACTGTTGTATCCTTCCTTCCTTCCTACTTCGATTGCTTGATCAGTCAATCATCTCCTCCCTCTCAGCTTATCCCCATCTTCATTTAAGCTAATTAAAATCCATTAATCATCTCTGTCAGCTTGATGCTCCTCCTAATCTGAACCAGTAATGGCTGCTGCAACCAAAACCATCTTTACTCCCCACCTTCTAAACCTCCCCATACTTCTTCTGCTGCTCTGTGTTCAATCCCTTCGCCACAACTATTCCCTCGCCGCCGACACCCTCACCCAAGGCGGCCCCGCCCTCAATTCCTCCGCCACTCTCCTCTCCAGAAACGGCCACTTCACTCTGGGATTCCAGCGCCTCGTCTCCAACTTCAGCTACCTCGGCATCTGGTACGACAACGACACCTCCGCTCTCTTCTGGGTAGCCAATCGCGCCTCCCCAATCCCCGACGACACCGGAGCTCTAGCCCTCGACCCATCGGGGGCTCTAAAGCTCAACTACTCCGGCGGCGACATCCTCAACCTCTACTCCCCCAGATCCCCGTCTTCTTCCCCCGCCGCCGCCGCCGTATTAGAAGACACCGGGAATTTCTCCCTCTCCGACTCTACTTCGGGAGCCGCCTTATGGCAGAGCTTCGATTCCCCGACCGATTCGTGGCTGCCGGGGATGAAATTGGGGGTGGTGGATCGCGGGTCGGGTCGGAATCGAACCCTAACCTCCTGGCTGGCCGAATCCGACCCGGCTCCAGGCGCGTTCACAATGGAGTGGGACCCCGCCGGTGAGCAGCTAGTCGTGCGCCGCCGCGGCGTCGTTTTCTGGACCAGCGGCCGGCAATTGCGCAGGGACGCGTTCCAGAACTTCGCCATGGATTCGGGGACGGTCGATTTCAACGTTTCTAGGGTTTCCAATTCGGACGAAGATTACTTGACCTTGTCCGCCTCTAGAAACATGTTCAGCGCGCCGAGTCAGAGGAACTTCTCCATCTGGCGGTTGAGATACGACGGGGTCGTCGTTGACCGGAGTACTAGCCGTGTGATTGTGAGCGCCGATCTGTGCGACGGGAACAATACGGAGAACGGGTGCGCCAGGTGGCCGGGGCCGGAGTGTCGGCGGCGGAATGGGGATCGATTCGTGCTGCAGCGGGGTGGGTTCGTGAACACGGTGCCGAGGAGGGAGGATAACAATGCGAGCCTTGGCATCAGCGATTGCAGGGATTTGTGCTGGAGAGACTGCCAGTGTGTTGGGACGAACATCGGCAGTAGTAATGGCACTGGCTGTACTTTTTGGTATGGAAATTTCAGCCAGGATCCCAATTCGAATTTTGTTCAGTATCATATCATCGTCGGAGCCGCAACGGCGGCAGCCCACCCGGCGACAAGTAAGTACGCCGCCGGTCATTCAAACACTTGCTTGCTCACTCTCATTCGCCCGTCAATCTTAGCTTATTTGAGCTGCAAGTAATGGACGATCTTCTTAATAGCATTGTTTTAATATTACTGACTGGAACCCAATGCAGAGGAAAGGAATTGGATCTGGGCTTTGATTGCTGTTGCAGTGGTTTTGTCGACTGTGATCGTCGGTATCTTGTGGTACTTGCGAAGGCGAAAACGCAGAGGTCAGTGCTTCTTTGCCTTTTCTTTTCATTGTTTCTATAAGCATCAACATCAGTGCATCACAGTGATTGCTGCCAATTTCTGATCCAACAATCCAACCTCATTGTGCAAAACTGTGCTAATTGTTGTGTGCAGAGAGGCTTCTAGCGGAGTTGATGATGACATCTGATGCACCCAATGATATAGGCGAGATGGAAGATGGTAGTGGCGACCATGGCCATAATTTGAAGATCTATAGCGTCACAACCATTATGACCGCTACGGATAACTTCTCTTTGCAAAACAAACTTGGTCAAGGAGGTTTTGGACCGGTATACAAGGTAAACTATCGGTGCTACTTCGTATTTGGTTTCACTCAAACTAAAATGATTATCTTGGTGTAGAATAAAAAAACTTTGTTGAAAGAAAGAACAATACAAGTTACTGACATATGGATGGATTGACCCTTTCGTCTATGTACTATTAATTTAGGGGAAATTACCGGAAGGACGAGAGGTAGCTGTAAAGAGACTATCGAGAAGTTCAGGACAGGGCCTCGTGGAGTTCAGAAATGAACTTATACTCATAGCCAAGTTACAACATAGAAATCTTGTCAGACTTCTTGGTTGTTGCATTCACGGGGAAGAGAAAATGCTAGTTTACGAGTATATGCCGAATAAGAGTTTGGATGCTTTCATCTTTGGTGAGAATAACAAATGATTCATAGCTACCTTTTTTATTTTAGTCATTGAGGTTTATTTTCTTTTTGCCAAATGATACTTTGGAGATTTTAACTCGGTAATTTATTACATATGAAACAGATGAATCAAAGATGGAAGTGCTAGATTGGAACAAGCGATTCATCATTATCGAAGGAATAGCACAAGGATTGTTGTACCTTCACAAATACTCAAGAGTTAGGATTATACACAGAGATATGAAAGCAAGTAACATATTACTCGATGAAGACTTGAACCCCAAAATCTCAGATTTTGGAATGGCTCGCATTTTTAGAACAAATGACATAGAGGCTAACACAAATAGGGTTGTCGGCACATAGTAAGTTCATTTTCCCCTGACTTGCTAATTAATGTTATTGCCCGAAGTAAGTAGCTGTAATTAATTTTTTGTGCAGTGGTTATATGTCTCCAGAGTATGCCATGGAAGGAACTTTTTCGATCAAATCTGATGTCTTCAGCTTTGGGGTCCTACTATTGGAAATCGTGAGTGGTCGGAAGAATCATGGTGTAATTCAGTTGGATCCCCCTATCAACCTCGTGGGATATGTAAGCTTATATTTACGTCTCTTGTTGAAATCAAATTCACGGAGATTAAGCAAAATTCATTTGTTTATAACTTGGTTCGTCTATATTATCAGGCATGGAAGTTGTGGAAAGAAGGCACGCCATTGCAACTAACAGATCCAACCTTGGGAGATTCATATGATAAGGATCGAATTCTGAGATGCATCAATGTTGGGCTGCTTTGCATCGAATATAATGCGGAAGATAGGCCAACAATGTCGGAGGTCGTATCAATGTTAACAAGTGAAATTGTACAATTACCGATGCCTAAACAACCGGCATTTACTGCATTGAGATCCAGGAGCATTGATGTGGAGAAAAACTCAAGCACTAGTTTCACGGAAAGTTGTTCGACCAATGAAGTCACCATAACAACTATGAGTGCACGATAAGATACCATGAAGTAGAAGAACAAAGCATTAATGTTAGTGGTATAACTCGTCATTTAGTTTGTAGGCCCAGATTTGCACTAGCTACTGTGTTGACAATAACAGTAATATAAATCAGCATTTACTCGACCTACAAACGTTTTTATGCCAAAGACTCAGTTATGTTACCACGTCGATTTCTATCAGTGAATTCTTGTATTGATTTGTTGAGTTGCCACCCCCATGATTTCATTTCATTTCACCTTAATAAAGAGACACTATCCATTTGATTCGGATTCCTCATTTGCACAGTATGTACATTCATCCTTTTTATTGCTAAATTGTAGAGAAGATATATCGGTTATTATTTCCCAAAGATTAACAAGTAGATAATAGTCAATAGATATGATACTACTAATCCATTAGTTGGGCCAGGAGGGTTTGAATTCACTGTGTTCGGCTTTTGGATTTGGCCATATGGACTTCTTTGGTGATGTGGCATATAAGTTAATGTAGATTGACTAAATTACCGGTTAGTTAGTGAAATTTAAATGTTCAATTTGTTAAAAATCAAATATAAGTGGTCAATTTGTTAACAACTCCAAACGTATGTGACCAATTTTGCTTTTGACCCACCACAATAGTAAAAGACTCCGGTTTGAGCTAAAACACCGCCAACAACATTACTCTCGTAGCAAGATGGATCAACCAACCAAAAAAAAAAAGAAAAAGGAGACAAATGGAAGGTTTTGTTGTACACACATTTGAAAGAAACTCAATCTGCAGCTGTTGATAGGACATTAACACACAATTGGGCCGAAGAAGAAAGAAGCCCATATGGTCAGCGGCGGCTGCATAAGACTCTGCTTCTTCATCATCATGGGACTTCAATCTCAGAGGCCAGAGGTTGGGACTGTGGCTTGGGCTTGGGCTTCAGGAGCTTCACAATGGACACCACGGTGATGCCGAGCGTCAGGAGAAGCCCGACGTAGGCGGCAAGAATGGCTACTCCGCCGCGGTTGCAGTAACCTTGGAAGTTGTCGCAGATCTCGTTCCACCGTGCGTGCGAGTTGCCGTTCTTCGCCAGCTGCGCCATGAAAGCCGCCCCATGCACCCCCGCTGACAGCAGTGCCGCGTTTAACTACATACCAATCAATCAAAATCAAGTGTCCAATTTGTGTTACTTGTTTCATTAATTTGGCACATATATTGACGTTTAATCCAACCAGTATAAATACTCATACTCGAAAAATTTATGAGAAATGGGCGACTCGTGCTTATATTGGTCATCAAAGATTTTTTTTTTTTCATAATGATTAACTACGAAAGTTGAACTCAATAACATATTATGTCAACCTCATATATTATGATTTAAGTCGATATTCTGTAGTATAATAAATCATTTATATAGGAAATGTTAGTGAAGTACCATATCGAGAACGGCTACCAAGGGCAGTTTGAACCCTTTGAATTCAAGGCCGAACAGGTCGGAACCAATCATCATCAAATTGTGGTTGCTCGCCATTGCGTTGGCTATCACAAAGAACCTGCACACAGATGAATCATCACTCTCAGTTTCATAATGTTTCCATCAGCGAAAACCGATCAAGGCGATGGTATGAAATAATGAAAGGCTGCTTGCTTACACATTTGCAGGGGTATGTTGGAACTTAGCCGTGACAGAGGCAGTAACAGGGGTTGTACCAACGGTGCCAACTACGAAAGTTCTGGTTTCCTTGTTAAGTGCCATCACAATGGTTGCAGCTGCGGTAGCCAGCAAAGCCGCCACCCTTAGCGCCATGATAGCCGCCTTTTGGCGCTTCTGCACGACCTCTGCTCGACCCATGTCGTCGAAAGATCGAGTGAGAGAACCCAGATAGAAAGATGGAGGACAGAATGGATGGATTGGAGTCTGGGTTTGATTTATTTGGGATGTCTGAAACTGAAAGGAAAGGGGTTGATCATTTATAGTTGGGAATCTACGAGGGAATGGGACGATCCTAATTATGAACCACTTTCAGCTTCTTTTGTTCTACTTGTGAATTACGTTTCGTCGGGTGGTCGAGCCATCAGATGAACAAACGCTAAATTCCTCTCTTTCTGGTCATGGTGGTTGGGAAAGCTCTTCAACTTTTGCCTTGTCCCTTTCCCTGCTGAGAAACACTAAAGAATTGAAGCTGCTGCTCTTTTTTCCAGGCAGTTCCACGTATTCAGGAACTTAAATCCTCTCTGCATCTAAAGACTACCATCTGTCACTTAGTGTGTGTGGGTGGGCAAAGGAAATCCTAGCTCGAGGACCGTCCGGTTTCACATTGCTCATGGCATCAGTCACTTGTTCAGTCTTGGTCTCATCTCGGGCTCACACCAGAGCTTACTAAGAGCACCACGAGATCAACTCTACAGCTCACTCTCTTTCTCGAGCACAATATGCTCTCTCTTTCCGCAGAACAAATCCTTCCATCAGGTCGCGAGCCATAACCAAGAAAGCGCACACTTGTATCCAAGGCACAAAGAGGGAACGTATAAATAAACAACAGAGAACCCAAAACACAATGTCCTAATCATTTATAAGAGTTGTATAGATGGAAGATTTTCTGTGAAACATAACAAAAAAATGTAATCAAATAAATCTGGAAGATTACAGCATCAGGGTGATTCAACATGGTGTTGAGAAGAGTACAAAATATGCATGAATGGTACACTAGTGGTAGCAACTCAGTTTGGGGTAATATAATCAAACATACAGAGGGGAACGGCTAGGCTCCCCCTTCCCCCACAAAGTTCCTCTTGTCATCTCCTCCAAAATGTACATCCACGCTTTCCTTCTTGCAATCTCTTCCCTAAGGCTTCTTTTTTCCCTATGTTTCAAGTACTTTTATAGCTTCTTTCTCTTTCTGTTTAATCTCCATTGAAATATTATACACACAATTCCCATCTTCCTCCCCCCCTCCCAAACCCCAAAAACCAGGACTACTAACCAAATGGATACAAGCAACGATCTCCAAACGCCTCCCACGCTGCCTTATTTTTTATCCGTTGTGACTCCAACAACCACATTGCTCACCTGCAAAGCAGATTTCCAGGGGGATCTTATTAAACAGCATTCATAATGAGAAAGATGACATGCAGAACATACAGAGGATAGGATTAAAAGTAGCAAATGAGTCAGAGGTTCGTGGGCTTATATGTTTGAAAGTTGTTTGTGGGGTGCTGAGATTTTCTATGAATATTTGATGTGCCACTCTGTTTGGGAAGAGGGGTAAATGGGAGGAGGGTGCAAATGTGAGGGGTAAACACAGTTTCCAACACATTTGCACATGTTTGGTTAATTTGAAACAGTAGGCGGATGCAAAACGGAAGTGCAGATTTACTATTTCGGCTTACCCCCCAAATTGGGGTGCAAGGGAAGGAAGGAAGAGAGGGAGAGGGGGAGGAGGAAATTATGGAATTTTGTTTTTTTAATTGTGTTATATATAATTATATAATAATTAATATTATCAAAAAAATTTTATAAATATCATTAATGTAGACATTAGTCGGGGTTGACCATTTGACTCCGGAACAAGTTTATCAATGTTCGTCAAGTCAAATCTAGATCTCTTGGTTGACTCGAATTTGCATTGAAAATTAGAGATACAAAGTGTTTGTGGAAAAGATAGAGAGAAATTGTTTGGTTAACTCAGTTTATTTGACAAAATAGTTTTTTTTTTTAGATAAGGGTGATATAGGTTATTATTTGTAATTAGGTACTACTGAAGGGATTCGAACCTGGAACCTCCAGGTTCAAGGCTAGTAGTATTACCATTAGACCAATCCCTTGTTCGTTATTTGACAAAATAGTTAAGACTTACAAATTCGAACGTGTTTGACTAAGTTTGACAATTTAAGATTAACCTAGACACGAAAACTTATATAGGATGACCAGTTAAGAGTTGAGCTTCGAGTTTTGAGATCGCTCGATCAATGATTATTACAATTGTTATAATTAATTATTATTTGAGCATTATTATATAATAACTATTTTTATTAAAGTATATTTATTATTATATAATAATATTTATTTTATTATTTTGTGATAATATTTTATAATTTTAAAATCTATTTTAAAATAATATAATTACTTATTTTTCACTCCATTTGCACCTCCTACTTTTTCATCCAAACAACAATTTACCCCTCCACTTACACCCCAGCAATTTGCACCTGCACCTCAACTTGCAACCCCAGCAATTTGCACCTCAGCTGCTTATCAAGTCTAAGGGATGTTGGGTAAGATTTTAGAAGTTTGGGTTGTAGGAAGATATACATGGACCGGTTTTTAACTAGCTAAACAAGAAGGGTGCTGTAATGTAATTTTCTATCAGCTGACTGAGTTGGCAGAAAAATGGATTCAAATTCGACCAATATCTAAGATTCTGACACGTTGGGACTCAAAAATATTTGAAACCAAGTAGTAGTGTCAGTGTGACTCAAAATTTATGTATACTTATTAAAGTTTGGGTACTGAAGTGTAAGATACGAAGTGGTAACTTTACATTTTTACTGTAACCATCTGCTCAACGCCCATGAACCCAATGAATTTTGGGTCAAATGGGTTTGTCTGTGTTATATGAGTTTTAAGTGGATTGGTTGGGTTGGATTTAGTGTTGCCACCTCTAAAGAGAGGACGAAAAAGAAAGCTCTTTGGGGTTTCTTTTTCTTCATTTACTTTCCAGGAAAACGAAAGGCTGGGATGAGTGATTCTTACCAATTTCCCACTTTCATCGACAGACATTGGATTTTCGACAACTACTGTCTGAGTCTGTGAGTGCGGCATTGCCTGCATCATTGGATGAAATGAAGCAACAAAAGACGGAATTAGTAAAACAGGGAAGATACCGAAGGCTCCTCCGAATAAGATCACTCGGCAAAGTGACAACTTACTGAGGTAGTAGATGGCACCGTAGCACCTGTACCGTTTGGTCTGTTCACTGGCGGTTGAACCCTCACATTTGTCACCTGCATTGCAAAAGCAAAATAATATAATGAGAACACCAGGTGCAGACCATCCCCTCCCAGAAAAAGATAATTATATTGAGATACATTAATTAACAGTGGTCTGATTAATGCATGTCTGCTGCAATCACACCATTCTTTTTCATCAACATTTGCTTTCTGCAGTCTACAATAAACCTCTCTCCCTAACTAAATTGTATTCCCAGGAAAACATATTACTTTTAAACCAACTATAGGTAGCTTAAGGGAAGCCCTAAGTGAAGTATTTATATACTTTCAACTAAATGGTTAGTTCCCCTTTATAACCAGATTGTTGATTTGAAAACTACTACGCAAAAGCGCTGATGCTTACACTACTCCTCACAACGGACTATATCTACTTCGAACAGAAGAAAAGATGACAAAAATTCGAGAAACAGGCAATCCCAGCTGTTTAGGAATCATGAAAGCCCATGGAAAGATTACATAAATAGGAGGGAGGGGGACTTACGCTGACATTTGTGACGTATTGACAGACTGCACACTTCACAGATGGAGCTCCATAGGGATACATAAGCGTCGTCCGGCAGTTGCCACAGTTTATGTGAGCAACCTGACTAGATACTACCTCGTACAACCACAAAAATTCAAGAAACAGAATCAGGAGACTACTATATGATAAAATTAACATTTGAAAGGAGGAACACCTCAAGCAAATTATTATAAGATCCTCAAACACATTGCTGGAAACACAAATCTTGTGATGTGACATTTGCTAAATGTAGAATGGTTGGTAGGGAGAGTTTTTCGATAATAGTAAGATTGTTTGAATATAGGTGTCACTTGAAAGTGGTTTTATTTACATATCAAGACGTTTCCACAATCAGGATCTCAAGGAAGGATTCTCCAACGCAAAATATGAAACAAACAAAAAACTAGCAGAATTCTAGAAGGAACTGTTTGCTACTAAGTTTTCTGATTTCATAACCCAGTGAAGACTCAGAATTCAATGTCTTTTTACATGTCTCATAAAGCTTGAACAGAACAAATCTTAAGCACTTTCATGAGTTCCGGAACAGGATACAGTACAAGAGAACCAAGATGTAGCATTATCGCCTATTAATGTACATGCATAGCCGATGTGGCATTTCAGGCAGACTGGCCTAAGCTCATAACAGAACTTGCCTGGACACTAAAGTACTGGACCTAAGCTCATAACAGAAATGCATATGGGAGCAATCACAAACGACTAGGACACACAGCTCTTCTATGAGGTCATATCTTTCAAATGGGAGCCATCAGTCCAATTACATCTATGACAAGTTCATAGTTTTGCTAGTAAACGACTTGAATGTTCATGAATGAACTGTCGACAACTTTAAGGAAGAAATGAAATCATCCTACTATGAATTCATTAGTACAATCTTGAATAAAGCTGGCATCTAATCAAGTGATCGATTATACCTGGGGCTAGGTTCACAGTGTGACAGCAAGAGCATCTGACACTGGTTGCTCCACGAGTATACATTAGCAAAGTCCTGCAACCTCCACATATAAGTTGAGCCATTTCCATCCCTACAGGAATAACGTACAGGTTAAGCAGCTGTATCCTTTATTCAAACCAAAACATTCAATGCCAACCTAAAGATTAGAATATGTTAACATCTAGTTCATACAGGAGCGGAAAAGAATTCAAACATCTTTGACTGAATGTCACCTCCAACCCACAAAAAGTGTAAATGCTATTTTTACTATGTTTTCAATTGAAAGGACTCCAAACCTCAATAGCATAATTCCCCTCAAGGATGGAATTGCATCTCACCAATTTAAGATGCCAAACCTAATGCATAAAGTAAAGAATCAAGCAAGAAGAAGCAACATAAATCAGCTTGTAATCTTCATACCATATATCACAATTTTTTTAGAAATGTTGGGGGGCAAGAGCCTTAATCTCTTTCACGTAGAATTTATTGTTGAACCTAGCTAAAGATTAACAACTGTTATTGCACCATGTGCTAAAGGCTTGATCATAAAATCAATGGCATAAATATGTTTCACATCTCTACTGTTTACAGAGATGATCTTTACAGTGAATATCGCCGTGCTCACTTTTCAAAGACACAATTCATAGGAAGTCAAGATTCAAGAACATGTAAATTTCTTGGTGCTGGTATATGGTTGGCAAAAGTTCACTCCAAGCAAAGTCTTGAAACATTATCATGTTATTACTGGTTCTTGCAAGATCTCACAACTAGATTGCACTCAAACGCATAGTAAGAATAAACAGCCAAGCAAGTGTAATAGAATGAACCATGAATCAATATATGGGGTAAAGGACATAAAAGAAGTATACCCGGAGAAGGGACTGATGTTATTGTATTACATAACGCACAACAGACATTTGAAGCTCCTCTTGGATAAAGAAGAATACTCCTGCATCCGTTGCACATCAATTGGCTCTGCATAGCTGCATCATAAACAACATCAGAACAATCTCACAATACACAAAACTCTTGCACATATATGAGCACCTACCCTATCTACAGATTATGTGATAATAACAGCCATTGTACAATAAGAAAACCCCCACCGTGTAATAAATGAACCCTCTATAAACTGAATGAACACTCGAACCAAAAATATGGTTGGTAAATTATCTTCCTAATCCTAGGAGGAGAAGCCATCGATCCTGGCGGAATAATCATCCATTTCCTGAGGTGATATGAACAGACAAGGGAGCAATACGATCGAAACATTTTCTAGTCAACAAGATCCTTTGTAACATTGCATTACACCGGAATGCATCCAGAAAATCCATACGTATAATAGCCAGAATTACCAACAACATGCTAAAACACTAGAAAGAGATTTGCATTCAGGAAAAGAGAAACACTTCAATTCGATTGAACAAATGAAAACTGGAAATCAAGAATACAAAAAAAGTAAGCTGCCGGATAGCAACGCAGCCAACACGAAAAAGCAGGAAATTCTGAAGCAATATCAGAGCAATTGAACAATAGTCAATCAATCAATGCATGAGCTAGAAGTTCACCTCCAGACAAAGAGGAAGAAACACAAGCCTCTCTCTCGCAACGCTCTTTCTCGCAGCAGCTTCTCCCGAGCAATCCACACGCAATAGCCGGGAAGAATCGAGGGAATCCTGTGACATTTCCAAACAGAGTTCGCCAGAAAATAGGATTAAAACTCAGATAAGAAATCGCGATCGCGGAACCTCATAAACGGCCAGAGACGAGAAAATCAAGGAAATCGAAGCTAGGAGTCCACCTCGAGGAAGGATTACGATGGCGGTGACGGCGGTGGCGTCGAAGGAGGAGGCTGCGACGGAGAGAAGGAAGCGAGAGGCAATCGTGGGAGGAGAGGAAGGAAAATGTTTGAATCTGGAGACAGGGAGGAAGAGAATGCAGGAGGAGGAAGAGGATTGGAATATGTTCGGGAGCGGGACAATCGGGCAGATTGAGGAAACCGAGGGAGAAGAAATTGGATTTTTGGGTTGTGGAATATTTTTACTCGTTTGCTTCTTTGTCTTTTCTTTATTCTTCTTTCGGGTCAAAAGAGCTGAAGGAAAAGAAAAAAGATAAATCGGGGCGGGTATGGGTATTTGTCATTAAAATAAATAAATAATCCATCCTGCTCCGTAATTACGTGTATCATTTTTTTATACGAATTACGGATAGGGAATTTAAGGGCAGCTTCCAGATTAGCAATATCCTTGATGAAGTCAACTTTTATGTTTTGCACACCAAAAAAAGAAGTTTCTTGACGTTTCCAATTAATTTCTTTTCTTTTTCGTGAAGGATTTATGAAACTATTTTATTTGAGTAATTGGAAAGAATTCGTCAAATGAAAAAAATAAGGAAAAAAAATTCATTTTTGTGCATAAACGATATTCGTCTCAAATTCAAATATGCAGTACCTAGGACATACTTAATCTTTTTTGCTCGAGACTTCTATCATTTTTGGGTGAAATAGGTCATACTTAAACCACCAAGAAGTGGTTAACTAAAGACAAGAGAGAACCTTCTACCATTCAAGCCTCTAATCCGTCACCTAATTAGATTGCAAGCCTTAAAGAGTAAAATCCAAATCAAACTAATAGAACTTTCATTTTCTTAAATACAAGGACTTCTCGAAGTCGCTCGTTTTAGAAGAACAAAAGAATCACCTCTACGATTAGTTTTTCTTTCAAAGAGGACATATTCTTAAACCCAGATACGACCACAAGTTGCGGAGAAAGAGGAGCAACTCCAACCGAACATTCCATGTCCTTTCCTTATTTCACCTTTCGTCCCGCGAATACAAACCAACAAGATTCTGCCTTTAATAAAACCAAAACCCCAAATCCGACCTTCATCAAGAAAGCGGTCATGTAGGTTGCTTCTAGTTCATGCAAAGTGGAAACATGAACGTAATATAAACTATATATATATATGTAATAACAATGTCACTTCAACATTCCCATAGGAAACATTCCACTGTCTGGTACTTACTATTAATTCGTTAATGGAAAATTTACAAACACTATCTCACTTGGTTCTAACAAGGTCTCCCTCACCCCTTCATGAAGTTTCATCCCGGATTGAGGGATTCAAATGCGTCGCAGAGAGGCCAACCTTTTCTCGAGTTCCTCAACATCAGCAGACTCGGTGCTACAATGACATGAAACATGTACCAGTTAACGAAAAGAAGAGCAAAGAAAAGTAAAGCACAGAACAGTCAGGAAAGTCATATGCAGGATCATTCAGCAACCCCAACAGTAAATTCAAGATCAGCTCTAGATGAGAGGAAGGTGAATGCATGTTAATGGAGATACTGAGATCTCAGAAAAGTTAAAGATGCAGCAGGAACAGCCAAGTTATATAATTCCAGGAGATCTTTTTGATGTAGGATTGACTCATGGATTTGTGCACGAGTAGAGAGGATGGTTCTTTCAAAACCCTAGTTCAGTTGATCAAAAAGGATACCAAGTCTATGGACGTGTCAAACGCGTGGGCCTCATGGATTTCACAAAACCACTCCTTGATGTTGTGAATTTTAAATCCTTCATCCTTTTAGAGATCACAATCCATTGCTAAATCATACATCCATAATTTCTCAATTCCATGGACTTTGCACTAAGGATCATTTTTCCTTGATTCAGATAACTCATCAATTTTTTTTTTTCTGAACAACATCTCCATATGAGATTTTGAGCAATTGAACCTCAAACGAAAGTAAAATTGCGTACCTAGCAGCAGCTGCAGGTGCGTTCTTTGATGCAATACGTCCTTTGGGAGCTGAAGACAACTGTTGAGTACAAACACAAAACCAATCAGACATCTCAGTGAACAAATATTAAGAGCCATCAAACTTTAAGATTATATGAGCTGATGATGAATCTATGAATGAAGTTCCAAAATGCCAACCTGAGATGCAATATCAACACCTATCTCATCAAGAACCTGCAAGATGCATCACACATATTGATTAAGACTGATAGCCCTGGAATGCAAGACAAAAAGAAGATATATCATCAGCATTTTGACCTGGTTAGTAAGCTCCTCTGTCTCCTCTTCCGCTTCATCTTTGTCCAATGTTTCATCAATAGATTCTGACATCATTTCGATCTGAAAACAAAATAGCAGAGCTGGGATGAATGGCATTTCACTATTTTACTTCCGAAGTAAGTAACCAAAAATGAGACATATCACATGAACACCACCAAACAGCTCACAGTCACAGCACACTTTTAAGGGTTTTCCATCATTTTTCAAGCATCCTCTTCTTAAGAATCTCAACTAATGGCTTACGAGACAGTTTCGAGAGAAGGAATTGAAAAATAGAAAATAAAAGTTTACAATTATAAAGCAGAGCAAGTAGAGGTAGAGAAAATCACCGTCATATCCAGTTGTGATGACTGCTTCTGGAATTCTCTGATCACTTTAATTTGTTTTGCAGGCGCCATTTGCTGGAAAGATGTAAGAAGATTGGTAAGCTAAAAAAAGAACACTTGACCACAAGTTTAGAAGGTTTATCAGTATAACAATTCCAAAGTCACTTTGATTAGTAACAAGGTAACAAGTTCTTCTTAATTCCATATTTCTCACACTTTTTTTTTCTTTTCTTCATAACACTCATAATCACAACCATATATTTGATGAGCATCACAATCCGAGAGCATCAATACACTTCCAATGAATATACCTTGTTCATAGCTACCATGGCTTTAGTTGCACCTTTCATCCCAGTAGAAATCGAAGTGCTGGCATAGAGAGCCTGAGATCACAAAGTCCAACAGCAGGCCCATCAGAGGAAAACAGATCACTAGACACAGAGCCACATCTTTCTAGCAACTGATTTCTGCTGACAAATCGACAATTACTAACCTGTGTATGCGTAGCGACACCTCTGATTTGGGCACGGCTTCCTTGCAAATTCGTGATCTGCTGCCGAAGCCTGACCAATTGTCGGGCTAGGATTCGGGTAGCAGCCTATGTTTAAACAAGAAAATGAAGTTGCATACAAGTAAATCAAATAAGCCCGGAACCAACTACCCTACAGCCTCATACCCAATCACCATTAAACTACTGGAAAACAGCATGAACACAAACTTGCCTCGTTCCCAGTTTTGGCTTCTTTCTTGATCTCCGCCACCAATTTCTTTTCCTGGAACGGGAAAGAGAGAAAGAGAGAAAAAGATTCAGCCAATCTATTAATTAGGAGATAATAAAGAACAGTGACAGGCGTTATAATCACTAGCATCGTACCTCCATCTGAAGAGAAGCAATTTCCCTTTCAATACCTAGAAAGCAGCAGGAGACATCAAACCGAAATTGTGATTCGAGCAAGATCAGAATGCGAGTCTATATTTGGTGTTGTAAGAGATAATGAAAACATAATTTTGGGGCTCGAGGTTCTAGCGGTGGACAAAATGGGCATTATTACCTCTGGTGGCAACCGCCATGTCTCTCTTGCTGCTCCTAAGAGCTTCTGTTGAACAATGGGGACATGAATTAGAGGAAACGAGGGGAGATTTACAAAGAGAGGGGGAGACAGGAGAGTAAATTACCTTTGGGAGATGTTTTCTTCCTGAAGATGTTCATGGTGACTGATAGCTGGGTCGCCGCCGCCGGAAGAGCAGAAACCCTAGTAGAGGGGAGTGTTTGGAGCGTTGGGTTGAGGGAGAGTTAGAATCGGGAAACCATAATCGGATTCGGATCTTCGACGCGGCTTTCTTAATGGATGGGAATGCGGCAAAGTCCTAAGAGAGTGAACGAGTGAGTAAAGACTCGAGGAAAAGAAAAAGAGTTTATGGATGGATGCTTTGGGGAGCGTGCGCGCTTAGGGTGCTTGTTTGGTTTTGGTCCGATGTTGTCGAACTTCCAACGTTACAACGAAGCCCAACTAGCCGTTACACACTTGTGCTGATTTTACCCTTCTGTCCTTTGTGTCCACATGCGACTTTCCCAGTTTGAGTTTCCCACCTCTTTTACTTTTTTTTATTATTAAAAATCATAATAAGACAATACAAAATTCAGTAAAGATTTATGACTTATAAGTAATACTTCAATTTTAATTAATAAGATGTGTTGTGTAATGAAATGAATGAGTTCTTGTAAAAATTCTAAAGTTAAACACACCCGTTATAGAGCAGTGTAGAGATGGCGACCTATATTCGAAGCTGTTAATATCTGGTAAGTGAAATAAATCCACATTAAAAAGCACGAAAAAATATCCATATTTCATAAAAAAACAGTCAACCTTAACTGACAAGGCATTTTTTGGGGTGGAACGAAAGAGTAATTGTAATACATATGAAGTTGCGTGTTTAGTGTGAATCAATGCAATATCAGTGACCTTCTAAATAATTAATCACCATGATGACCCCAAAATCAAAATCGTATGAAAATTCGCCCAAAGTGGACAATTGTTTGGTCAGAGAAAGGATTGGAATGTTGCAACTTGCAAGACCCTTTGTATAAAAAAAAACCCCCAAGACCCTTTAATGTAATTTTACAAGAATATTCCATAACTGAGACACTTTTCACTTACGTACTATAAGTCCATGTAGGGGTGGGCATTGGGTGGGTCGGGTGGATTTTGACCACAAAATGCACCCACCCGCGGTTAAACGGATTGATAATTTTTAACCCACAACCCACCCACATTTAGTCTCGGGTTGGGTCGGGCGGATGGTGGATGATGCGGGTGGGTTTGTGGGTTCACCCACATCACAATGTATATAATATAAAGGAGTCAACTTGACATGATAATAGGTGAAGAGAATCATCGAGGGAAACAAGAAGTTGAAATAGGGCAAAAAATGTGGAATTAGTTCTTAAATTGGATAGAAATTCTATTATAAAAGAGTTTTCTACAAATTGAGACGATTATTAGGTGCAAGGAACTAAGGAAAATAATTCCACAAAGGAAAGAGCGGTGATCTAGGCACAAGAATTAGAGGAAAAAGTAAAGGGAAGAAGAGGGGATCTCTATTTGGAATGTTGGCTTTGAGGTTCAAACTCCAGGAGCAGTCCGAGTTTATATCTAACGTCTCCACTCTCCTCTCTCTAGCGCCAACGACTTTGATCTTTTTGTTGTTGGGTTGAGCGGGTCACCCGCACACTCACCCACAACCCACCCACCACCCGACGGATGGCTCCCAGCGCAAACCGTCACCCACCCACAGACCCACCCACTTAATGAAATTCGGGTCAAATGCGGATGGGTCGATCCAAACCCGCGGATGATCCGCCCGCATGCCCAATCCTAAGTCCATGCCACCAAAAGAGAATCTCTTCTCGTCAATATATTCCAGATTTGGCGGGTTGTAGATTATCGGCTATCCCCTATTCCAATCCCCTTAAATAATCTGGCACATCAAGTTTTTCCCATGACATAATACAACTCTTGTTCATTCATTTTGACCATCCACACTTCTAATATATCGCAATTCCCACTCGAATTAACAAAATGTAACTTACCACGGTGAGCAGGACGCTAGTAGGAGAACTGCATTAAAGCAGCTGCCAAATTTACTGTTGTCCATAATATGCATCCATCAGTTTGTTTCCCACATCATCGTTGTCACAGCATGAAGGGTCTCGAAAGAAATTGGGTGATGCTTACTTCATAAATACATCTTACTCGAGAAATCACCAAACAATATATCATCCAAAAGGGCCAAAATGTACTTGTATCACAGGGGAACTTGAAGTCTACTAAGCTATTCTCAGTAGAAGAAACTGAAATTCAACTAGAAGAAGGTTCACAGACCAATAACCGGCCGTTTTTCCCACAATGTGATTTCTGTACTCGGCAAATTTAGCCATGAGGCATACTTGTAATTGTAAGAACTTGCATGAATACCCGAGTATTCATTAGGCGGGACCAAATTTCAGCAATCTTTCTACCAAAACAAAACAGAAACGAGAGGAGGAAACGGGTAACTGGGAAGACGAGGAGGAAAAATTGGTTGAAGGCGTAAAGGCTGCAGGGGCAGTTACCACAGAGGTCAGAGAAGCTGGCGAATCCAATTGGTATATAATTGGTATATAAAAGCCTTGGTTGCCACTACTGTTCATTAGTGGCCCCCAGTTTCCTTCTCTGCGATTGGGATACATCCAAGTGTTTCCCCTTTGTCAGTCACCAATCCCGCCTCCCAAGACCCTGTAATTGTGAGAGCATTCTATTGTCCCACTCGCCTACTCAGAACCTCTAGATTCATTGATTATCCTATGGGTTTGGGTGTTGTCCTCTCCTCCCTACTCCTGTCACTTTCCCACTCAAAGTTGCTTTTCAGCAACAAAGACAAGCTTTCTCTATCTCCTTCCACCCCGCACGCAAGCTAACCTTCCTCCATCTCCTTTTCCTCTGTTCTTTTTGCCTCTTATTTGGACAATTCTTTTCTTTTCACATCCATGAATTCTCCCTCCTTCCTCTCTCTCTCTGGGGAAAACAATCTTCTCTTCGTTTCAAACCCTCCCAAATCAAGAACCCTTTCCTGGTCGATTCGCTGCCGTGCGGGAACATGCATCCTTCTCAAAAACTCTCTGTTTGAATCCCAGTTCCGAAGCTTTCTGGCTTAATCTCAGTAACCCTCCCCCGCAGGCCGCAACTCAACGGCTGAATCCCACCTTTGAAGCTCTCATGTACCCGCGGCGGCTGAATCACGAGTACTCTGAATCCAACCGTAACTCATCATCTTCAGCCTAGGGAGATCCATCCCTTAATTTTCTATTTCTCAGCGTTCTTTGACGGCATATTAGGTGGGCAAGGCAGAGGAATCGACAACAGTTTTGGGTCTCTTCTTCTATTTATGGGTTTGGTTTCTAGCGCCGCCAGTTGAAATCGTCACTTCCCCATGCTGCTTTTGGGTTACTTGGTTTATATGGTTTCTGGTTATTTCCATGAAGGTTGGATTGGGTTTTCATGGAAGACTTTCAAGTTTCTTGGTGGTTTGTGAAGCTCTCCTTTGCCTCTGCCACTGCCATTATGTTGTGGTAAGAAGCCATTTTATTTTGGGTTTAATTTGTTTGTTTATGTAGTTTTGGGAGTTAACTAATGGAGTTCATTAGTTTGTTTATATAGTTTGTTAACCAGCTTGGAGTTGTGGTGTATACTACTGTCGTTGATTATGATGGTTGGATGGCCATAAAATCAGCGGTGGCCGTGCGATTAAGTATTGTTTGGTGTGTGGATAGAGGCAGGGATTCCACCGACCTCGGATGGGCGAAGTGGTGAGAGGAGGTATGTGGAGGTGTTAATCTCATAATGAAAAGTTTCCTCAATCCACCATTTCCGTTGAAATTCAACACCTCTCATATATTTCCTCTGTCTCAGCCGCAGTGTTTTTTACTGTTTGAGAAGCCACCGCAAGGGAGACCCCCTCGGGAGCAATGGCAGGTCTCTCTCTGGCTTTCTATCTATTTTTCCCGTTCATTTGTGATTTAGTTCATTCCACGAGTCTAGAAGGGAGACCCCCTCGGGAGCAATGGCAGGTCTCTCTCTGGCTTTTTATCTATTTTTCCCGTTCATTTGTGATTTAGTTCATTCCACGAGTCTAGGTGTTTTGCGTTCCTAATCGCTCATTGTATAAATATAGAACTGTTCTAATTTGTTTGGACATGTGGGTTGCTTTTATAAGTACTTTGAATGAATCCATGATCAACCTTCAGAGTTCTATCCAATGCAGTTAAAAGCGCGATTCTACCTAAAAGCGGAAAAGGGGTAAAATCGAAAAGCGGTGAATCAAAGCGTAAAAGCGTAAGTTTTTGATGCATCCTGTATAATAGTTAAAATAATGTTAAGTACGGCATAAACTATGTAAAATATGAGTTCACAGAGTTTAGATAAAAGAAAAAATACCTGCAATTCATGTCTAAATTAGAACAAACTCATAACATCATAACAATTAGTTCATAAACATAAATCGTAACCCACAAACGAGTTAAGAATCCAAATGCCTATCAATTTTCAGTCTGCTACTTTAATTGCATCAATTTCATCAATTTTTGAGCTCTTGTCCTGCAAGAGCATAAAATGGTGACTGTGAACAACTGAATATCATCTAGATCAGTGCCCCCATCGTGTTTCCGTTTATGAATTTGAATAGGTAAGATTCCATTTTAGATTGAAAATTGAATAACGAGAAAAGAGAAAAACCTTTGACTGTGAAGAGCGACAACCGGCGGGTGAAGACGACGAGCTATGGACGACGGAGTTAGGGCGGCGGCGGGCGACGGGGCGCTGTGGACTTGCGACGGACGAGTGGGCGACGTCGAGCTACGGGCGGCGGCCGAGGGCGACGGGCGGCAGCCGATGACCACGGGCCGCGGCCGATGGCAACTGGAGGCGGCCGAGTGAGGCGACGAGCGGCGGCCGAGTGAGGTGACGACTGACGAGCGGCGGCCGAGGGAGATGAGGAGAAGGGTGGGTGGTGCGGCGCTGGAGATCGATCAAATTAGGGTTCAGCGTAACCCCTTCTCCCTTTTGGCAGCCGCAAATTTTTTTTTTTTAATCAAAATTCAAAAACGACGTCGTTTTGATGAAAGGAGACTGTTTTGCTCCTATGCTCGGAATCATACAAAAGCGGTATAAAAACGAGTTTTTAACCGTTTCTACCGATTTTACCGATTTTACTACGCTTTTGACCGATTTTGAGTAACTAACGATTTTATTGGTGATTTGAAACGTTTTCCTACCCTAGAAACGTAAAATCGTACGCTTTTACGCTTTAAAGCGCGATTTTGACTGCATTGGTTCTATCCAATCTAGAAGTTACAGTGGGTTCCAATTTCTTAGTCTAAACCCTATATGATAGCTATTGTTTTATGAGATTGTCACACATGGGTGTTGGCGAGGACATAGCTCTCCGATTTGGGGAAAGAACATGCCCCTTTCTCGGCTAGCTTTTATCTCATTCATTGTCACATAGAGTCATATATCCTGCCTTATTAAGTCTCCTATATACTGTTGTAGCCTTCTTCATCGTGCCTTTATTCTCAATTTCACAGGGTTTTATTGTGTTCCGCAATGTGGCTTGCTGTAGTGTTTTGTAAAAGTATTGATCAGTACTTCTTTTTCATCTGCATGTCCTTTGCATTCGATGCAGCTCCTAAGGTGTAACATGGTTCATCATCGATTTACTCTCAGATTGTTTTAAGTTGAATCTTATAATCATAGCTTAAACTTCCACAGAAAATCATTCCAATCGACATCAGCCGGCAGTGCCAGACAACCTGCTCCTCGAAGTCACCGAAAGTGATGGTATTATGCCTCTCTATCTTTTGGGTGTTTTTAGGACCTGTAGTTCTTGGTAGTGAAATGGGTGTTTGGGTTGTTTTCTTTGTCTCTTGCTTATTTCATGGCCTTCTTCTGCAGTATGAAATCTGTGATTTCAGGGTCACCTTTTCTATTCCTGTGTTTGTTTTGTCATTTCTAGCAACTCATTGTTTCCTTCTGATTACATTGCCTATCCATTTGTTCTGTTTAATATCTCCATTAGAGATTCAGTCAGGATTATGCGGAAGAACTATAGCTTTGTAATTTGCTAGCTGAAATTGATTGATGCCCATACTTTCCATTGTGAAAACACAATGAGCTTCAAGATTATTTATAGACTTTTTCCTTTGGAGTTGGATGCCACTTATGGATCTTTAAGAGTGTCCTATTGCTTTCCCTATGGATAGTGACCAGGTTTAGTTCTGAAATTTAGAGTTCATCTCTGTTTATTGCTAATTCTAGATAACATTCTTAATGCGTCAAAGCACGACCTCCTTGGTTTGAGATACATATTGGTGTTCTGCTGCCTTTGATTCTTTACTATTTTTTCATGCCTTTCAGGTTTCCAGGCCAGAAAATGTTTATTTGGTATCCCATCTATGCTGCTTATTGTACTGCCTCATTTCTCTCGGCATTAAATTGTAGGGTTGAGTTCATCTAGGCATGTGATTTGAGTTTTTTTTTATTTTTTTGCTTCTGGAATTAATCCAAGATTCATGGAATTGCAATCCAGGTTTAGTAACATCAAGTGTAAGTTATTCCTTCCATCGATGTCTATGCCTTTTGGTCATTTGAGTTTTGACCTTCTTTGTCATCTATACAGCCCTGATTTTTAGTGACTTACTATGCATGATTATGATTTCAGTATAGAGAATGAGATACTTTGGATTCTGTGAGGACTATTTTTTTAATAATTTTTAGTTTAAAAATCCATACACAAGACTCATCTGATTCCACTAGCCGCTCAATGGTCATAATGTAGAGTGAATAAGGGCTTGGGGAATTGAAGTGATTAACAAGATCTTTATTAAATACAGTCACAATGTGTTGCAAGGGATTGTGATTAGATATCCACAGTTGGTGAAAGGAAGTTTTCTTGTGCTTTGAAGGTAAAGGGAAATTGTGGGAACCATTGTTGCTCTGTCGCCGACTCAGTTGAAGAAAATCCAGTTCTGATGGCATTTCTCTCCACTACTTTGGTCAAGACGGCCAGAGAAACGATTCAAGCACCAAAAGACAATCTCCATTTTGCCTCTGAGCGATTCCATGGCAAGGCCATCGCCATAACAAAATTGGAAAGACAGATTATATGCATCTCCTAATAGCATGTGTTCCTTTTCTCAGATTGCTTCATTTTTACCGGTCATTTTGCCGCTGAGAAACAATTATGTTTACTTTATTATTTGATATGGATTTAAGTGACATCTAATCCAACAAAGTTTCTTTCAGTTTGCTTTCCACTTTGAAATTAGTATTCATCTTTCTTTTTTTTTCCTTAAATATTGTCTTTACGACTTGCCTACCCTTAGAGGCCAATTGATTTGGCTTTGTTCGAATTGCCTTAATACTATATCGATTTTTCATTTGCGCGAAGCGTAGCGAGCGGGTCTTTGCTAGTCCGATTGAAACCTGGGAGTTCACTGGGTCTTCTAAACATCCAATGACCAGTCACCATTTTCCTTCCGATACACGGCAACGCTGGTGGTCGCTTCTTCCTTGCCATATCTCACCTTCAACTGGAACGCTTGTCCAATTTTCAAAGACAAACCCGAAATCTCGAATACAACAAACTTCCCATTGCCATTCACAACATTTGTCCTCACAGTACTTGGCTTCATCTTCCTTCCCCCCTCCATTTTCGTGCCTCCCAAAGACATCCCCTTCTGACTCTTGTCCATTCCCAAGATCGTCACTTTGTTTACAACCCACTTCTTGCTCATTGCAAACTCTCCATTCTCTATCTCCGATCCAACGATAACCATGTCTCCAACTTTGCGAGCATGAAACTTCACCAAGCTCCACCTCTCACCTTCACCGCCGCCCATTTCCACGCTCTCCCCATCGTCCAAGAAAACTTGTCCAAAGCTGTGGCTTTGGTTACTCTCACTGACTACAGCAAGGAGATGGAATCCCGTCTCTCGAGCTTTCTCTGTTGTCATGGCTTCTCCTTGTAAAGCCACGATGCTTCCTTCCTGAACATGAACGTTTATGTGGTCTGCTGGAGTAGGCAGGTTTATGTACTCTCCTTTCTCCGGTGCAGTTACTGAATTGGAGAAATTGAAGAGATCAAACCAGTTGCCTGCTGGGAAGTAGGCATCGACTGAGATAGCACCAGGCTTCAACGCAGGGGATACCATTATGCTGTCGCCGAGTAGGAACTGCGAGCTGATGTCGTAAGTTTGAATGTCTTGAGGGAAGGAGAAGAAGAGAGGGCGTGCTATGGGGGTTCCTTTGGTGTGTGCCTCATACATAAGGGTGTAAAAGTGAGGAAGTAACTGGTAGCGCAGCCCGAGCACTTTCTTGGCTGTCGCAGCTACTGAATCCCAGAGATAGAGCTCTTGTCGTGTTGTGTCTATGGCAGAATGGTCTCTTGCAAATGGGTAGAAAGCGCCTAGCTGCAAAGAATGTTTGTTTGAACTTTAAGTCAAACCCAATTTTTAGCTCAAACAAAGCACATTCATAATTGTGAGCGAATTGTTCTAAATGGGAGGTCAGAATAACATTTTCACCTGAATCCAACGCCGGCAAAGCTCTTCGGTTGTGTTCCGAGCAAACCCACAAATGTCTGAACCAACCATTGGAAGTCCAAAGAGTCCAGAGTTAAGAATCGACGGAATGGAGTAAGCCAAATCATCCCATGTGGCGGCATTATCCCCGGTCCAATGTGCTGTGTACTTCCCAGAACCCACAAATGTGGACCTAGAAAGTATGAACGGCCTCTTTGCAGTCAAACTAACCAAAGCTGCATTGGTGGCTTTCGATTCCAACATCCCATACATGTTATGAACATTGTACTCTGCAACATCGCCGTGATGGAGAGCTGTCGGCGGCAGTGTGTTGTTCTCAATGGGCCGTCTCACTCCAGCATCATTAATCTTGTATGGAGGATCATCGAAGGGTGAGAATTGATTGGGAGTGGGAGAAGTGGTGTTGAAATTGGATGCTTCGTTCATGTCAAGCCATATGCCATCGAAGGGAAGAATCTCTCGAAACATCTTGATCTCATTGCCCCAAAATTCTGCAGTTGCTGGATTGAGAAAGTCAGGGAAGTAGACTGGTCCAGGCCAAACCACGCCCTCGTAAGGAGACCCATTGTGTTTGACGAAAATGTCAGCCTTCATTCCTCTTGTATAAGTTGCATATGACGAGTTTATGCTGATACCTGCAAGAACCAACACGAATGAATCATCCAGATGAAACAATTCTTCAGCTTGAAAACAAAGCTGCTAAGTGTAGATATCATGATTTTTAACATACCAGGATCCAAGATGAGGACATATTTCTGACCATTTTGGTGTAAACTTGCAAGAAACTTATCCATCTCAGTAGGTGGGAAATTGACGGGATCAAGAGTAAAATCCTTGTATGCATCCATGTAATCAATATCGGTCCACATTACTTCCAGGGGTATACCAGCGTTTGCATAACCAGCAACTACCCCTTTAAGATCCGAAACGTTTCTGTAGCCCCATCGGCATTGATGAAACCCTTAACAGATGAAAACAACCAACGAATTAATGAGCAAGGGGTAAATAGGACTTCCCAAAATTTCTGTGTAAATCTAGTGCTTTGCTTACCGAAAGACCAGTATGGCATAGGAGCCGGCCTGCCAACGAGCTCTGTGTACTGCTCCAGTACCAAATTTGGTGTTGGCCCAGCAAAAATGTACAGGTCAATGACTCCACCAATAACCTTGTAAGTAACTCTATCACCGTCATAAGTTACATCCATGCCGTTGCTGTTAAGCAACAGAACTCCATGAGTTGTGCCGGCTTTCACCTTACCGTCAGGGGATGCTGACCGAACGTCCATGTAAAAGGGGTGAGACCCGTAGAGATTGACATCAGGATTGAAGCTAGCAATGTCGGCGTTCCACAATGTGAGTGTTTCATTAGGCACCAGCTTGAATGACTTCTTTGTGTGCTCTCCCAAACCATAAAGTGAAGCCCTTTTCTCGCCGGGAAGTGAAGAAGTGAGTTGGATATACTGGTCCTTGAATACCAGGAACGTCTCCGGATCCGATGGGTTCGGGTAGGCATCGAAAATGGCGTCCCCCGAGGAACGGCGAGACACGGTGAAGCCGAATGGAGTGGCGTTGAGGAGTGTGAAGGTGAGGTCTGAGTTCGGGAGTGATAAAACGAGGCCTTGTTGCTCGGAATGGTGATGGGCTAAGTTCGAGTCCAAGGTGTTATTTTGACGTGGGATGATTTCTCGAGGGATCTCCCATCTCTTGTGTTTGGCATCTGTGATACGTATCCGCAGGCGATCCTCCGTCTCGAAGCTATGCACATACAAGAAAGCAGAGAAGAAACATGCAAAAGAGTGAAAAGACTTAGAATCTCTGAAACAAACAGAAACTCGGCTAGGCATTAACACAAACAGTTGGTCGACAAACTTCTGCATACCTGACAGTGAGGGTAAGTCTCTCAATGTCAGGACCAAAAACTGAAGACTGGTTGATCAGCTTCAGGTCGACGACGAAGGAGTTGCCGGCCGAGGGATCGATTCCGGCTGATACAACTCTGTACCCGTGGCCAATCGGGTCGGCTAGTTCCCCATTTAATGGGTATAAGCAGAAAAACAGAACGCAGAACAACAGTAGAAGAGGGTGACGGTACTGAAATGGGTTCAGCTCCCGATTCCCACTCTTCTTCTCCATAATGAGGATTTGTGGTAGGGGATACTCTGTAGTCGGGCATTTATGTCGAAATCAAGGCGAACTAAGAGACGTAACGCAGTATCTTGGTGCCATGTCGATGTCAGGTCTCCATCATCCATGGCCTCTCTGCTGTATATCCTCCGAACCGATTTGTCGCACTCGATCTCTGGCAGAAAGGGCCATGATTGGGGACCGAAAGATAATACTCGTTTCGGGTGCTGCGGTTTGTCGCCGCCCTCCATGTTTGGAGTGAGAGATTATCGCAGCCGGCCATGAGACTGCGCCATTTTTGTCCATTAGCTTTCACTTCGGCTATCCAGAATCGCCGGACCAGCAGAAGAGAATATCATTTCTCAACCCAGAAATGACAAAGAAAACGAAACAGGCATGGACTCCAATCCATAGATCGATTCCCACTGTGGTTACGGTCTTTGAATGAATCGCCAAGGAGTTGGAGACACGGCGCGGCGCTGCGCGCCATGTTTGGATACGTAATTAAATATATATTTTCTCCAGTTTTGAGGATTCGCTCGGCCTTTTTTCATTGGGCCTCAAAATTAGGGTTGTCAGTGTGTCGAACTCGATAAAAACTCGTTCGATTCAATAAAAGCTCGATTTGTTTATTAACAAGTTGAGTTTGAGCTTAACCTTGTTCGGCTCGTGAAACTCGTGAACTAGTTCGATTAGGTAGCTTGTTGAGTTCAACTCATGAACTATCTTATTTTGAGTTTATGAGATGTCTCAACCGTGTAACTAGCGAGCCAACTTGATTATAGTTCATGAGAAAGTCGATCTATATCTTATGAGTTGGTTTGTTAATGATGCATATATTTATTAAATTGTACATCACACCTCATATCCTCATGTGATGTTTAATAATTTGAGTATGTGAGCAAATATGTCTCGTATATGACATGAAGATCAGTTAATCACGTGTATCATTTGTGACATATAAATATAAGGGTATTTAATTCATAAATTATCTTAGAACTGAGGTGGAGCCTAAATTTTGATCATAATGATAAGCCAAAATTCAATAAATCAGTTGGCTCGTGTTCGACTCGACTCAGCTCATTCATAAATGAGCCGAGCTCGAGTTCGACTCGTTTATAAATAAACCAAACCTGAACAAGGCAAACCTCGATTCAGCTCCGTTCATTAACAGTCCTACTCAAAATCTCGGTATTGTTTTGTAGTTACCGAGTAGTCAAACCAAACTAAACCAAAAAAATTCGTTTGTCTATGGTTTAGCAATTAAATGCTGCAAAATTGGTGGGGTTATGGGAATATGGGGATTGCTAAATCTCAGTTTATTAATTAGTGTTCTTTGTTACATCGTATTATTTTAGCAATGTCGGTCACCGGGATTACTAAAAATGTTCATGTTTGGTAACTAAAAATATTTAATTTCAATAATGATCACTAAATTAGTTTAACAGTACACGTTTGGTCACTCTCCATTAGTCTCAATCCAACTCCGTTAATGAAGTTATTAAGTGCTGATGTGACAAACGGAATCGCCTAGTCAGCCGAATTTAACCAAGAAAACACTTAACCCAACCCACCACGTCATTTAAACCATAATCCAAGCCATGCCCCAATCCATGACCCATACAAATCGTCTGCCACAGCCTGAGACCACCACCACACTACCGTTGCTCCTCTTCCTTCTCCTCCTCAATCTGCTCTCATTCGTCGTCGGTGTCGACGACGACAACACCACCGCGGACTACACTCACTCAAGCTACAATGCCACGTTGTACCTAGACGTCTGTTACACCTTCCTCTCCCGCTACTCCAATGTTGTGCAGCAGAGCCCCCGTCACCATCGACGTCTCCCTATCCAGGGTCCGCTGGACCGCCTCCTTCGTTGCCAATGTCTCCAGCCTCGCTGACTACGACTGCTACCGCCCCAACCCATTGTTCATGTTGTATAACATAAAGACATATATAATACATTAATTTGAGCTAAATTTATAATTAACCTTAATTTAATTCAAACTCATATCATCCATTATCAAAAGTTTTTTTCTTACGAGTCATTCAAACTATCTCACAAAATAAATCATAATTTTGTTATGGTCGATCAAATATTATTAAGTACGGGAGATGCAAACCACATTAAAATCCTCTCATTATGTAAAATATCGAGAATGACAATGAACAAAAGCACACAATAACGAGATTTACGCGGTTTCCCCGAATGTCGGGACTAGTCCATGGGAGAGATGAACTCTCTGGCTGAGATATTATTAGGTTAAGTTCAAGGTGGCCAGCGGCCTTACATCATATATATACCCTTTATTTCATTCAACTACGGTTTTATTGTTTGGACAAACATACAACATACATGCATTAGATGGAGCTAGGTTTGCATGGTATGTATAAGAAGGCTTGGACGTGGCTAGACTGGGTCTTTGCTGGGCCGAACCCATTACTCCCCCGCAAGCCGTAGCGTGGAGATCACGAGCGCGCATGTTGGACAACAGGAAATGAAAACGTTCAACTCCAAGGACCTTGGTGAACATATTAGCAAGCTGTAACTGAGAGCTGATCTTGATCGGTGCAATCTCCCCAGATTGAACTCGCTCCCGAACAAAGTAACAATTCATCTCCACATGCTTAGTGCGCTCATGGAAAACAGGGTTCGCCGTAATATGGAGTGTCGCCTGATTATCGCAATGGAGAGGTGTGGCATCACGTGGAGGAGCACCAAGCTCGCGTAGGAGCCACATGAGCCAGACCACTTCACTAATGGTATGTACCATAGTACTCAGCCTCGGCAGAGGAACGAGCAACTATCTGATGTTTCTTCGTACGCCAAGATATCATAACTCCTCCAAGAGTGATGACATAACCAGTAGTGGAACGTCCCATCGTCTGGCAACCGCCCCAATCTGCATCACAATATGCTGTAAGATAAAGTAAAATATGTGAAGGGAAGAATAAGCCCTGACCTGGAGCACCCTTGAGATAACGAAAGATCCTGTCTGCAGCATCCATACTAGCACGAGTAGTATCATTAACAAACTAACTGAGTATATTAACTTCATAGGTGATATCTGGACGAATGATCGTTAAGTAGAGGAGTTTTCCTACCAGACGATGATAGGTGGCAGGATCGGGATGATCTGCATACGCAGGTCGTGTAAGCTGGTGATTCTGCTCAACTGGAAAAGCACTAGATCGGCTGCCTGTTACACCAGCGTCGGCAAGATGTCAAGTAGATACTTTCCAATGTAATTAATACAAAAAATTAATTAATATATTTCTTCTTTTTTGTCATTCCCAAAATGCTCTTGGTTGTCAATCTGAAAATCCCCAAGGGTTGTAACCATATCTAGCCCAATTTTAATTCATTCAAATCATAAATACTATCAACCATTCACTCTTTCCTCCCATTTTTGAAATTTTTATATCCACCATAAATAATCTTTTCGTTTATCTCAATAACGTTATTATCTCCATAACTGAATTCACTACCTAGCATACACTTCTTCTCCTACATTTCACTAAATGCAAAAATTTAATGGCAATATTTTTTGAATTATGAAACTTTGATTTCAGGAACTTACCTTTACCAATTACATGTCATGAACGTAGTCTGAGATTGATTGATCGTCTTAATCTTTCATTATTTTCAAAATTATGTACCCACTAATGAGGTTCGCGATATTGTAATAGGTGAGGTTGATCTGAAAATTTAACTTCATGCTCTCAGTGTTGGATGCGATGAGGAGGTGAAGGTCCTCTCATTTTGTCAGTATCTTTGAGTAGCTTCTCAGTTACATTCCAAAAATCTAGCTCCCTCGCGATACAAACAAATAAAGTTAGATTAAACAATATTGTCTACAACTTGTAGCTAGTCCAGAATCTATAAAATAACAACAATTTAGATAAACTATTTAGTCGAAAACTTTATGTTTTAGTGGGTACTTTATTTTTTCTCGAATGAATGAACTTGAAGTTGAAAACAACAAAAGAGTAGAGATAGATTATTTCTTAATTCCTATTGTCTTTCGATATTGTTGTATAATTCTTATAACAACAAAATATCCAGTTTTATATAGAGTCTGAGTTTTTATTAATCGTTAAAATAATATACGGAGGTTCCGCAGCGAAACCCATTCCATCCCTTTTCTATTTGCTTTTTTTTATAATTAAGGCAACCCTTTTTGCTTTCTTTTAACAAATTACAAATATCATGAATGACCAAAAATTCGGCTAAAAAAAAGGCCAAGTATATCACCAGATTATTATATTGTTCTCCAACAATTCAAAGTTTAGGAATTATAGGAAGACACATATCATTTTAATAATTAGTAGTATCTTTTTGCTGGTTTTGTAGGGTGGATTTTAATATAAAATTTAAATTTCTAAAGTCTAGAGATATCAAATCTGAGATTTTTCCAATAATAGCACCCTAAAAAAAAATTACAAAAATAGCACACATATAAAAAAATTGACAGAACTAGCACACATTTTTTTGGACCGCACCTCCATGATGCATTTTATACGTAAACCGCACCTGAAGGATGCGTTTAACGTATAAACCGCATCATGGAGGTGCGGTCTCAGTGTGGAAAAGCATGCCAGCGGAGCGATCCGCGCCAGCTGCGGAACGGTCTTTAAGACCGCTAGATGGAGATGCGATCTGACGGTGGATCGCATGCCAGCGAAGCGATCCGTGCCAGGGAAGGGGGAACGCAGCTGGAGGCAGCGGTCAACCCTTGGGAAGCGCAAACCGCATCGGGAGGCAGCGGTTTCCCTTAGGCCAAAATTACTGGACCGCCCCTGGGGGGTGCGGTCTGATGGGTATAAATACCCCCCCTCCCCCTCTCATTTCTTCACACCACAACCCATTCTTCCTCCTCTCTCTACAATTTATCTCTCTAACTAAACCCTCCCCTCCCAAAAGCCTAGGAAATAGTGGTCTGTTGGTTGCGGCTAAGTCCGATCTGCCATCAGAAAACATTTCTTAGGTTTTTTCCTCAAAACCCTCCGAGTCGAGCCGAAGCTCTGTCCGAATTACGCCGAAATAATGGCCGATTGGTGGCAAAGAGAAGGAGTTTATGTTGATGAATTTCAAGCGGTATGTACTCATTATTTTGGTTTAATTTTTGTTGTTGTTATAAGTTTTTTAATTAATCTATGTACTAACCTCGTTGTTATTTTCTCGTAGGTTGGGGAGGACGTCGATATATACAACCAACGGTATTATCTCGAGCAAGGACCGGTGGATCCAACCGACTTGTACGACCAATCCAACCATCGGTCAAGGGATATTTGGAACGATCACCCGGTACATACAATTCTTCACCATTTGTCCTTCTTTTATTTTGTTAATGTGCCTAGTGTAATATAAAATTAATTTATGTTTATTTTTTAATCGTGTTGGTTGTTTTCAATAATTTAATCGAATACATAGCGCCACTTACTTCGACTCTTTATAAAGAGATGCACGTCTAAGGAAATGG